TACCCTGATATTGGGTTCCCCCTCTTCCCTTTGTCCAAGGGGTTCATTAAAAGCATCCGTGGTGTCTTGCAGCAGTACCGGGCTGCCTTAGCAGGGGCCAATATTCCAGAGTGGACAGAGGACAAATAAACCATCAGGTTAGGGACAGGCAGGTGCAGGGGAGAAGGGAAAGCAGCAGAAAGGAAATTGGCAAACGCTGTTACCAGTAAACTGGCTTCTCCTTCCAACTATTCTTCCTCAGCTTGGTTTGTTCCAAAGAAGGTGGTAGGCCTGATGCTCCTCCGAGGAAAAGTTGTCTAAGCATGAATAACTCTTTGCGCCCAGCCCTTCTTCCTTCCCCGTGTCCCATGTACGTGCTCCTCTTGCGAGTTTGACCCTGCAATGGTAAGATTTGAGACCTGCACAGAAGCAGTCTTGCAGCCACGTTCCCTCTGCACTTTCATCTTGGGGCACCTTTCCACACGAGGACTCTTCCCACCCAGCGCTACACCCAGCAGTTTGTTCTGGTGGGCTGTGAGCCAGGAGAAGTGATTGCTGTAGTATCTGGAAATGAAGGGCAACGCTCTCCCAGTCTTTCATTTTTTCTCTGCGTTACCATGGGTTTTATAAAGTCTACCCCGGCTTATATGTCCTTAGACATTGGATTGTGTTTGCGTTGAAGTCGTCTGCATCGTACGGAGTTGCTCTAGTCTTAGTTGTTCACCAATAGCACGAGGTTCTTCCAATCAGGACTTGACAGGCAGAACCAGAGCTCTGCACTAGCACTTGTGCTGCCCTGGTAGTGCTGCGGGGTTTCCATCCAGTTCTGCAACTTCTGGTCATTCTTCTGGAAGCAATTCTAGCCATCCCCACTTCTTTTTCTCCAGAGTAAGGCAAACTTCCCTTTCCATACCATGCATGCCTGTCTTCGAGACACATGGGATTCGGGGTTCTGCCCTTGTTACTTGCTTAGGTGTTCATGTCTTTCGTTCCCGGCCATCCTGGCTGTCACACAGCACTACACCTACCCCTGGGTCTCGGCTGTGCCTGGGCAGGTGGCAGCGAGTTGATCTTGGGGTGTAATTTAGATCTAGCAGCTAGTCTGGATGGTGAACCTGGCACGACTGCTGCTTCTCTGCCGTTCAGCTGTAGATGGGTATTTGGGAGCTGTCTTGAGCCAGGGTCACCCAAGGGAATGGACGTGTCATGTCGTGACGAGGTCCTGTCGTAGCAGCAGCAGTTTGTGACTTCCTGTGCTGTTACTCAGCCAGCAACTGGAGCACATCAGACACTGGTGCGGACTGTTACCATTTTCTCCCCTTGCCAGCAGTTTCCCGTGGTGGCCTGGGTCTGCCGTGGCCAGCAGCGTTGTGGTCACAGCACATAACCTCGACTGCCGCGCTGCTGTGCTGCTCCGGGAAACGGCTGGCGAGGTCAGCCCGTGTTCCAGCAGCAGAGAGCTGCCTGAGCTGGTGACTGTGAGCACTTTGGAAGCAGTGACTTGCCAGAGTCTCCTGGCCAAGACACCTTCCTGAAGCCTCTTTTTGTGTGTGTGTGCACTTAATTTCACTTCTGGAGCTGGGAGATCACGCTCTGGCACTACTGCATTTGCCCAATGTTTAGGTGTTGGAGAAGCACCCACTTTGCATCCATGTGGGACACAGTCTGTCAGGGAGAGTCTGTTGGTCCTTCCAGCCAGCACAGGGAGCAGGCTTCCCAGGAAAATGTTAGGCTGAGCAGTTGGCTCTGCCAGAAGTAAGGTTGGAGACAGAACTCTCCTTTGCTCTTGCTCGGTATGGCCGTGTTCCCTCCCCTCCAGCCGGGCCAGGATCTGGCCTTCTCATTTTGAAACGGAGAACAGCAGGTGAATCTCAGCAGGTTTGTGCAGTGCTTTCTGCGCCTTCCAACACCGGGGTCTGCACCCACTGGCCCAAATCCCCCCCACCCAGCTCCCTGTGCCTGCTACTTCCATCTGCCCTGGTGATGCTCCGGAGCCAGGGGGTTGGCTGCACAACAACCTTCTCAAGTCGGGACCATCCAGCTGCAGCTCCGGCCTGGAGCCCTCCCTGCCCGGCAGGCAGGAGGTCTGGCAGCGCGGCAGACCCCCATTTGGGGTGCAGAGAGATGCTTTAAGGCACTGGCAGGGCAGTGCCAGCTGCACGTGTAACTCGTGGCTGGTGCTAAATGAATGAATCCCTTTGAGTGAGGATCGGTGGCGTCTCTGAAATATAAAGGGGCCGATTGGAGCAGAGGGGTGAGGTTGTTGCTTCGGGGCAGGGGAAGGGCAGGCAGAGGCTTGTTCCACAAAGGATTAAACCTCTTACCAGACAAGAATTGTGGTTGGTGATTTACAGACGCTGACTTCCTCTGTCCTCTCGGCTGAGCTGTGGCTGTCCTGTGTGTCCAGCTGGGGAGGGAGAAAACCCTTTAGAGCTGAGCCACGGCTGGAGGTGGATGAATTGAGGTCCTCTAGGGCTCCTTGCTTTGCCCACCCTTTACTCTCTGCAGGTCTCATCCCACGGGAGGGCAGTCAGCAGGGGCTTGTCAGGCTGCCCACCCATGCGGGGAGGAGGGCAGGGTGCTGGTGTGAGCTGCTCAGACCCCGGTGAGTCCTCTCCTTTGCCCAAGAAGTCTCTTTTGTTTCCTCTGATCGTAATCAAGAGCTTTTTGCACAGGTTCCTGGGGCTTCCCACCGAGGAGGTGTGTATTGGCCGCCTGGAAGGGGGATGCTGCTCCCCGGCTGTCACTACCCCTGGCATCGCTCGCTCTCTGTAGCTGGTTGTCCCAAACTGAAGCGTGCACAGAGGTTTACAAATTTTCTAAAGCTTTTGATAATGTGAAGCTCCTGGGTGATGAGGTTGGTGGTGAGCACACTGCAGCTATGTAATTTTTTGTGTATGTATGTAATATTTAAGGGTAACAAAATTTAAAAGGCTAAAACCTTAAAAAAAAAAATTAAAAACACACAAAAAAAAAAGCCAAAGCATGATGCATATTGTTAGCCTTAAAACTGGCTACATGACTGTGTGATGTACAAATGAGAGCAGCCTGTAACTGTTTTAAGTGCTGGGGTTGGGGAAGAAGCATTACAAAATCAGTTTGTAGCCTTGATTCTGTACAGTATTTAATGAGAAAAAAAAAAAACACGACCTGACTATTGAGGCCATGCTTAGAGGTGTGTCGTTCACGTGCAGATGTGGATGCTTGGTTGCTTACAATATATGTATAAAGTGCTGTGTGACCATTAAAACTTTTTTTACCTGCAGAATTTTTTTTTTTGTTTGGCTAACCAAGGTGTAATAAAGGAGGGGAGATAACTTGCCATTAAATTTTGCCTCTGTGAGTAGTTCTGACTGTTGTCTCTTTCTTTTCCTCCCCCCTGCCACGCTTGGCACTTGCCCCCGTCTCCGGCGGGCAATATATGTATAAAGTGCTGTGTGACCATTAAAACTTTTTTTACCTGCAGAATTTTTTTTTTTGTTTGGCTAACCAAGGTGTAATAAAGGAGGGGAGATAACTTGCCATTAAATTTTGCCTCTGTGAGTAGTTCTGACTGTTGTCTCTTTCTTTTCCTCCCCCCTGCCACGCTTGGCACTTGCCCCCGTCTCCGGCGGGCGTCCCTGTGCCAGGGGCTGGGCTGGACGGTTTCCT